ACTAAAATCCCCGTCACTCCTTCCCAAACTTCCACTTCCCTATATCAAAGGAAAAATCGAAGCCCGCTTTCAATCAATTGAGCCAGTAGCTCAATAGTTCTTATCGTCGCTATCTCTCTTAGGGTCGCCGGTTCGATTCCAGATAGTAATAGTTTTTTTTCGCGCGAAAAGTTTCACGCGGTCGTTGTAAATGCCTTCATCCGGACTTTGAAGCCAAAATCCGCTAAAAAGACCGCTAAGAAGACCGCTAAGAAAACCGCTAAGAAGACCGCTAAAAAAACCACTAAGAAACCCCTTATAAAGACCTTTAGAAGGGCTCATAGGGGTCTTTACCTTTTATCTTTTTACACCCAAATTCGACCAATCAAAGGCTTCCTTCAACTCAATAGGCCTTATTAACCCAACAGGCCTTATTGCATATATAGGAACTAGAGATGCAACAAGGCTTGTTGCGCTCCCTAGATTCCCACTGCGGTACCATACATCCGTCCCGGGCGGGGAAGGCCGCTCGTGGATTTTGCCGTCTTGGGGCCGATCATAGCATCTGCTCTCTGTACGGCATCTGTTAAATCGCCGAGGCCGCCGTTATGTCCCAGATTTCCTGTTCCCCTTTATGTTCGAGAGCTGCTCTCTCCCTACCTGAACAAGTGCCTCGAATATTCTTGTTCACAGCACTTGATCGGCCACAGCGAACCCATTCGACAGCTCTGTAAACCGCCGCGATGTTTGCCTTTACCTTTCGCCAGGCATTATTCCTCGCCTCAACCCTCCTCCCAACCGCCACCGCAGCCTGCAACCGCTCCTCCCTCCTCCTCACAGTCGACCAATTCCTTCTCGGCCTAACCATGGGCCAAGCCGGCCCACTCGAAAACATCGCCGACGACTTCGTCTACATCGAAAACAACAAACCCGCCGTCATCGTCTCAGGCATCTTCAACAACATCCTCAAAATCGACTTCAACCGCACCATCATCGACCTGACCACCTGCTCCACCTTCACCGAAGTCATCTCCTCCACCTCTTTCAAACCCTTCGTCCTGGGCGCTCAAATCCATCACCACCCAACCGACAAGTACAACAGCGTCTACAAAATCGACACCATCGTCTCCACCACCGGCTCATGGTTCTTCAACGCCAGCCAAACCCTCCACTACGCTCTCCAAGAAGCCTGGCCCGTCATTTCTCCCGCTCGGCAAGACACCCGCCAGTTTCTCCAAAAAGCAGCTGACGCCTACCTAGACATGTGGCATAACAAGAGCGCTATCGACGCAGTACCCTGGGGCACGCCGTGTGCAAGATTAGAGGGCAGTGTGTACACCGGGAAGGGAAGACCGGATGATTCTTGCAAGGTGGGGATTCCGACGAATAACACGCAGCCGCCGAATTCTGATAGACGGTACGTTGTTGATGAAGGTATGGGGACGGTTAGTGTGCTTTGTAATTTTGAGCATTTGGGGAACGCGCCGGATAGTCATTTGTTTAGGTTGGAGGGGGGGAGGTTGAGGTTTGTTCATACGATTACTGTGGTGGGTGGTTTTGGGTGGTCGGTGGGACGTTGAGAGGTGATGGGGCAGGGTTTTGGGGGGTGATATGGATGTCATGGGAGGGAGGGGAGGTCGTGGGTGAGGCTCATGGCGAAGGGAGACACAAATGTTTGCGTTTCCTTACATCAGTCTTGTGAAAAGGCAGACGGGTTTCACAAGGGCACATCAGCGGGTCGGGCCGTCGCACTTTGTAGTCCCAACCAAACATCTTTTCCAAAATGGACGACGTATTGCCATTTCTGCACTACCATCCGTCAGTTCATAAATCCCATCACCACCTCTCCTACAATCCCCATCACCAAATCCTCCCCATCCATCTCCACCACTTCCCACAATGCTAACCCGGCTCACCAAACTTCTTTCCCACACAATGTCTACTCCTACAACCCCCACCACATTCCCCAACTTCCTCCTCCTCCCCTACGAACTCCGCTCCCTCATCTACCTCCACACCATCCTTCCAAGCCGTCTCCTCCGCATCACCCTCTACCAACATAAAGCCGAGTCCGAGTCCGACTTCCCGTCCTGCACCTCCAACTCCCGCTACAACACCAATACCAACACCGGCGATCGTTCTACATCTATATGTACAGGTACTTACAGCCCGCCATGCCCCTGGACCCTAAAAGCCGGCCCCACCCCCTCGCTGCAACAAGCCACCTGGCAAGTCCGGACTTTGATGCGCGTCTGCAAGGATGCATACGAGATTGTCACCCGCCACATCCTGCCGGATCGGATTGAGGTGACGGTTAATTGGGATGCTAGGGGCAGCTACTTTGATGGTCTGGAGGGTGGTCTGGAGGGTGGACTGGAGGGGGGTAAGGAAGGACGGGGAAGGAGGGATAGGGATAGGGATAGGGGGAGGAGGGAGAGGCAGGAGAGGAAGGAAAGGAAGTGGAAGGAAAGGGGGGAGAGAGTGTATGCAGTGCCGTGGAATAGAAAGACGGAGAGGGTGCTGGTTGAGAAGGTGATGGTGAGGTGGGATGGGGTGGATAGGGTGCCGAGGGGGAGGGAGTTGCCGGGGCCGCCGGTTTGGGTTAATGCTAAGGGGTATGAACCTTTTGGGGATGACGAGGAAGAAGAGGAAAGTGATGCGGAGGAGAGTCGGAATCCAGCTAGGTTGTCGAGGTCTTACGTGCCCCCGCCGCCTGCCGCTGCTTCAAATTCGTTGCTCGACAACGCCGCTACTACAGAAGAAGAAGAAGACGAAGAACGTATCCCCCTCGTCCTCGACCCCCTCGCCCCAGGCGAGATCTACCTCCCCCGCTCACACGCTCTCGAGCTCTGCCGTCGACATATCAGCCTCCACCCCCTACCCCTACCCCTTCATCTTTTAGGTCCTGCAGGCCCTGGCCATCAAGCCCCAGGGCAGCAGCAACAACAACAACAACAACAACAACAACAACAACAGCTACAACTCGAATTCAACCCCATCTCTTACAACTCCGTCAACGCTTTACTCCTCCTAGCCAAAATCTTGCGCGTCACAAACATCACGGTGATCGACGACTCGGTGCTCAGCGGGACCGACAGCCCGTGGAGATTTTTTTCATCGGGGGGGCCGGACCCGAGCTGGGTTGACGAGAGGAAGGAGGTGGAGAGGGGTTGGATGAGGGAGTTAAGGTTTGTTAGAGCCGCGCTGGCTGATCTGATGGAGGAGCGGCGGCAGCAGCAGCAGCAGGAGCAGCAGCAGCAGCGAGCCGGTCATGACGACGACGAGGAGGACGAGGCAGATACGACGTTGGCGGCGGGGGTTCGAGCCCGGTTGTATGTTCATGATCATGATCAGGCTCAACCAGCACCCCAACCTCTCCCCCACCCCCAATCCCAATCCCCCTTCCTGACCCCCCACCAAGTCCTAGCCCGCGAACTGTTATCAATGAGTCTTACCCCCCGCGACCTGGCCAAAATCACGTTTTACCGCGTCCGCGACCCTTTTTCTGCTCGACAGAATAGGGCCAGACGTGATGGCCATGAGGTCCAGGTCCAGAGAGGGGGATGGGAAATGGGGATGAGCATGGGGGAAATACATATGGGGGATATGGACCGTGGACGAGGATTTGGGGGGATGAGAATCGGGCGGGGGGGATGAATGGTGGAATGGGGGCTTATGGTGGTGGGTTTGGGGATAGGTTTGGGGATAGGTTTGAGGGGGGTGCATATGGGGCGCCTTTGGAAAGATCGCAGGCAGCTGGCGCCGGAGCAGGGCCTGGAGCTGGGATGGGATCAGGACCGGGTACTGCAGGTGGCACTGGTCCGGGACGTACTAACAGTATGCCAGGAGTCTGGGACACAGTAACAGGCAGAGCGGGATGGCTTTCAGGCGTTGGTATGAGCAACAACCTGGAGATGGACTTGGGCATGGACTTGGGCATAACACAAGATATAAACAGGTTGAACCTGGTCCCAGAAGGGGAATCCACGGTGGGAACCTCAATGGGTGCAGGGTCGGGTTCCGGGACGGGCTTTGGGACGGACAGGCCGGACGGGAGCCACATACAGATGGCGGGTATAGGAACGGGAGAACCTAGCAGAGTGTATGTGCCGTTGCCGGTGTCGAGCACGCCTGCTCACTATGGCCGAGAGTCGGGGGCGGGGTTGATGCTGGATTTTGCGCAGGCTTGGCCGGGGTTGATGCAGTGAATGGCGGAGTGTAGGATGATTGTCATGGGAGGCTCTGAGCTAGGATGGTATGAGTGGCAGGATGGGCGAAAGGGAGGTGTGGTTCGACGGTGATGTCGCTGGCTTTAGGATTCCAGGTGCTGGGTCGGTCCAACTTGGGTCGGGGGTCGTACTTCTATTCGGATGGCTGTTGATAGCCAGAGTGTGCTTTAGGAGTTGGTATTGCGAAGGGAATTGGGCTGCTGAACTGATGTGAATGGTGCAGGAAACAAAGAAAGAAAGAGACACTGGTTGTCAGTAGGTCTGTATTGCATCTAGTGCCTTCCCTTCTGGCAACGGCCGAACGATAACTCGTCAGTGTCTTCCCATCCCGATACAAAGTTGAATAGGAATTTGAGCCTGATGAGAACACTTTGACTTATCATTGGTGGTTTGCTGTATCGTTAATAGGTCGAAGCATGTGGCCCTGAGAACTGCATGTAGCCAGCCTTCTGCAAAGAAAACATCAGATGAACTTGTGGATCTCTCGGTTAGACCAGCTCTACCGGTTCATCCCATCTTCCAAAGTTCTTGAAGTTAATAAAACGAATTGGAAGTTCAACCCAAAGACAACATGAAGTTGCAACACAAACCTCGTTCACATCTAAGAAGAGGGCAAGCAACTCGACAACGTACTACCACCTCCGCCGCTCCACCTTCCAGGCATCAAATTCCACTCCTTTAACTAGATGCAAAAACAAAACGATGTAAAACAAAACTATAGAACAAAACCTAATACAATAACAATCAACCAGGAAAAGCGAAAAAGAAACAAAAAAAAACAGAGAAAATGATTGCGCCAAGAGGGAATCGAACCCCCACCTCATCCTTGGAAGGGATGAATCCTAGCCGTTAGACCATTGGCGCTTCGTTCTTGTAAATTGGTGTCTAGTTTCGTGCTTATATGACCCTTATCCAATTTGCAGGCCAACAGACAGCAGACACCTCAGCTGAAAGACACCGGGAAGTACAGCGGAAGATGGCTGCCGGCCGCGACGAACCCCTCTTTCCCACTGCACCGAACCATTGGCCCGTTCATGACTGTCGGCTTTTTGGATTTCGCACCAAACTTGGCGCCGGATCTGCTGTCCATCACTCTCAACACAATCTTTTGTGAGATGCATGCAGGGACCGACATCAGCATTTCTCGCTCCGTCTTCATGAGCGTTTCGCACTCGGTTCATTGCGCATGGAAACGGGACGTTCGGCGAATTGATGCACAGCTTTACGGCACGTTTTAATACAGTATTGACCCCTGCAAGTGCAACCCGCCCAAACTGCAAAACCCCCAGGAAGTGCAACTTTTTTGGCTGCCGGAATTATTTTACCATACAAAAACTGCAAACTGCAAAGTGCAACTCCTATAGACCAGATTTGCATCTATAGGGGTCAAATTTTAGTGGGAGAGCACACTTATACCCAGTTACCGGGGGTGTATGGTTCCACTTTTCCTTCCAATTAGGCGCCTCCTAATGGCTACAAGCCTAGTCAGGGGTCTGTACGTTAGGTCCCCAAAGTGCAAATCCCCAGAAAATGCAAATAATTTCGGCCGCCCGGATTAATTACACTTTCAGGGGTCAATACTGTACATCGGGCATCGCATATCGCATATCGCATATCATCGCATCGAGTTACATAATGCCCCCGCGTTCGGCGCCAAGCAAAACTCCGCTCAACGGCTTGAAGATACCCTAGGCATTCCCACATGGTGCCCTGGCGGTTGTCATCTTTGCATGCCCCTGCCTTTCGCATAGGTGCCTTTAGCATTCTTTTGCGTGGTCTGAGAGGAGCTGCTTAGAGGTATTCTGGTTTCCATCACACGTCCGACTTTGACGTGACAACCAAGCAGCGCATTCGACCCGCTACGGAGAGCTGAACCGAACTTCAGACAAGACAATTAACACCACCACATTCGCCAACAAGCAGCAGCAGGAGAACACACAACAAGATTTCGTCAAAAGACGGGTTCAGATTTTCATTTTTGGTTTGGTTTGGTTTGGTATCACTCCCGTTGTTCTCTCTTCCCATCAATCCAGTCCCACCAGGTATCATCCAGCACTCCATCTCTACATCATCATCCATCTCTTATCCAGTTTCATCATCTCATCGTTATAGACATTCCATCAAAATCAGGCATCTATCAATCCTTCCCACGTACACAGACCTCCATCCATTAAAATCCGGCACATGAGAAAAGGAAAGACATTTATATACAAAAGGGACCCGCAAACGCACACAACGTTCTCGGCCCAAATGGTCAAAGTCAAGCCATCCATCCTAACTAAAATGACTGCTGCAGAGTCATCATCAGTTATGAAAAGGTGATTAAGAGCCAATTTAGACCTTGGCATTAGCGCGGTAAGTGTTAAAGTAAGAAGTCATGCGAGTCTGCTGACCGGCGGTGAACTCTTCGTAGCAGGAACTGTTTGTTTTTCGTCGTCGTTAGCCACTGCCCCCCATCTCATCTCATCATTCAAAGTTATGGGGGGACAACATACTCAATAGAATAATCCATATAATTATGAATAGGATCCAGTCCAGCCTGGTTCGGGCAAGAATCCCTACCAGTAGGGCACCCACTGCTGGCACTCGCCTGCGCCGGTGTATCGGACACATAATCGCCATTACCCGTGCACCCACCCTGGAAGGTATGATACAACCCAAACCAGTGACCGACCTCGTGCGTCGAGGTGTGGCCGAGGTTGTAGTTGGTCAGGGAACCTCCCGGGAGGGTAGAATACAAAATGGAGCAGCCGTCGTAGTACCAGTCGTTGGTCTTGGAGGTGACGCTCGTCGGGAAGTAGCAGTAACCAAGGGCGTCGCCGAGGTCCTTGAGGATGTACAGGTTCAGGTCCTTGTAGGTGCCCTTGCGCAAGGCTTTCTTCATGGCCAGCTCGGAGCCGTCGACGGCCCAGTTGCTGTTGACCGTGTAGTCGGTGCCCTTGAGGGTGAACTGGATGCCGTGCGGGGCGTAGGCGGTGTTGAGGACCGAGACTTGGTTGTTGATCATGGCGGACTATGTGTGGATTGTGTTGTTAGTTGACTGTGAGATGGGAAGGGGAGGGGGAGAAGGGAAAGAAAAACAGAAAACATACGGTAACGTAACCATCGGAGAGAGAGGTGGAAGAGGCAACGACGTGGATGTAGACGTTGACGTTGATGGTGGCCTGGGCAGAGATACCGCCGGCAGCAGCAAAGGCAGCCTCCTTCTCGGCGAGCTCCTTGGTCATCTGGACGTGCTGGCGCGAGGGAGAATCAGTACCGCAGTTGAAGGGCTTGACGCTGACGGCGGCGCCAAGGGCGGCCGGGGCAGCAGCGGCCGCGAGGAGGAGAGACTTGATCTGCATGATGGATGATGAAGAGAAAGAAGGAGGAGTGATCCCTTTGTGAAAAGATGGATTGTCTGGATGAGATGGATGATGATGGAGAGGATGACCTGAAGAAGAGGAAATCTCATGAGATGGGAGTGGTCATGATCGAGTCTTTATACAAGATGGATCCATCGGTGTTGACTGTTGGGGCTGTCTTCACAGAGGAGGTCAAACGCCATGCATCTTGGGCCGTGATAACATTGGGATGGACATGTTTCGGTGCAGTCGACAGGTTCTGGAAGGTCAAATCCGACAACCTTCCCAATCGGATCCTAGGGGCGGCCTTTGGGTTCGGCTATCTGGGGTGTCATTGCAGGCCGCATCTCACATGAGGCTGGCCACAGTGGGTGAGTGGTTGTTGTGTCGAAGTGGTGGTACCTAGGTACATACCTCTACTCTCTGCCGATCAGGGGAGTGGATGCCATACAGGGTAAACCCGAGGAAACACACACACACATACACACAAGAGCACAGCATTGTGGCCCATGGTTCATGGAGTTGACGCCACAGCTGTCGTGAGGCACCACCACGTCCCTGGTCGTCCCTGGTCGTTGAGAGCCCTGCCACTCGGCTAGTACCTAGTAGTACCAAGTGTTTGTGTTGATTGTTTGCCTGGTGAGAACAATACTTAGGCATGTAGCTATATGCAGAGCTGATGCTAGTGTCAGCAAGTATATTGGCTATAAATTGAATAGGCTGTGCTTTTTTCTCACCTTGGCTTTTGGTTCCATTTCATCTCTTGCCGTCCCCGACTTTTGTCGTTTATGTTTTGGTTGGAGTCATGTTACCTGTACAAACCGCAGGAATTCTTCAGTCAAGAGACTCCTTCAATCTCTTTTCTCTCTCTGTGTCAACTGTGTCAAACCCCGAGTTCGGCGCGGACATACTTCCCATATTCCATCCTCGCCTCCATTTCCGCTGTGACCAATCATTCCTCCAAAGCGGCAGTTGGCAGGAACAAGCACTACGCTAAACCCCTCGACCCAGTAACCGAACCGATGCCGATCTGCCCCCCTCCACCTCCAAGTCTCCAACCGTAGAACTTTTCTCTCTCCAGTGTCTCAACTGGCTGGGTGCCCACTGCGGGTTTATCGATGGTGTCCTGTAAGTGCGCTGCTGCTGAGCCTGGTATTAGCGACCGATGGTTGGTTGGGTGACATGGTAGACATGCCCTGCCAATGAAACCTCCCTAATCGGGCAGTTGCCAAGCCCGATCAACATCTGCGATTGCGCTCGATAATCGCTCGATAAGGGAGCTGGGCATTTCTAGCTTTGTATTTTAGTGGCCCGCTGGGCGCTGGCGTTGTTTCGGCCCCTCATTGTTACTAACAAGTGCCCCTCTTTCCAACTCTGAAAGTCCCCTGTTTGCATAGTAGGTATTCAGTAGCGCCCGGGTTTTGTAGACAAAAAGGCAGTTGCTTTCAACTTTCCACCAGCAGAGTCATCACCAAGACGAACAAAAGAGGGTTGCATTCCCCCTCATGAACTGACAAGCTTCTCACCAAGCACGAACGAACACACGATAACCGGGCCTACGTCGACACGGGTTTCCCCGTTTCATGCTCCATTTTGCCTGGACCTGTACATGGTGGCTTGACACGATGGCTTTCTGCGGTGTTGCTCACAGTTCACACATTCCACTTTTGGCATCACGGCCCGTGTTTGAATGATGGAGGTGGTGAGTCGTCGGGTTCAACTGGAGGATGGGTGTTCGGTATGTCCATAGGTAAGCAAGCCATCAAGGGGAAGTGGCGCGGACCGCGGGGGGTTCAACCAACAGGGCAAGCCGGGAAGGGAAGGTTGGCGAACCTGGATTCGTCAAAACCGTGGTGGTGGTGCACATGTGGAAGACAGATGTTGAGGCGACTATTGCAACTCGAATCAGCAATTGGTCTGCCCCCTCTGGTTCGCAATCACCGACATGCTTTTGATACTTTTACCAGTCAGTGAGTTTCCTCAAATGGCTCGAATGTCCAGCCAAGAGGCAAATTGGTTTTTGTTCCCCAAAGCAGATGTTCGCTGGTTTCGATATCGTATTCGATAGGCAACGTCCCTGCTGGCTACATGAACCAAATTGAAGAACTGACTGCCCGTTACAAAAGTTGTGAAACAAGCCTCCCAAAGGCGAATATTGAAAAACAAGTCAACCAATGGTTTTTCAGCAATGGCACGTGGACAAGGTTGGACCACATGGACGACGGGACCAACCACATGTCTTGAGTGGAAGGACCAAAGGAATGGAAGTTGGAAAAAAGGAAAAGAATGACGCTGGTAGCCTTTTGCAACTTCCTCTTTCTCCCCATCCACTATCAAAAACGCTACTGCAGAGATAGTTGCACTAACAGAGTGACAGTACCTACATGATGTATTCACGGGGCATCTTTCCTTGGTCTTTAACAATAACAACCTGAAGACTCAAAGCCAAGAACACCGTGCCACAACACCAAGGAACTTCCTATCATGGGTCTGGAGTCAACATCACAGAAAGAAAAGGCC